GGACGACCCTGCGGTCTGACCCAACGGGTTGGACGACCGCAGGAGCAGGAGCCGTAGCCTTATCAGGCCCGGCACCGTCCGCCAGGCCCATCCAAAATGAATATGAAAAAACAAACTTCTTTAATCCCGAAAGCGGACAAAGAGCACCCCTCAACCTCAATTAGGAGTGCAGCCCGGCTTTCGAAATATTTGAAGAATGCTCCGGCCTTGTTTTTTTCCTACTCCCCTCCTTTCAACCCGTCCTAAACTGCCTACTTTGGGGAGGTTCTGGTTATTTTGGGTTTTTTCTGTGCGGCCTGGTCCACAACCCTAACAAACAGCAAGTTTCAACAAAATCTGAAACTAAGGCTAAAGGTTCATTAAACTTAAGACAACCCTTAAACAAAGGTAAACACTAAATTAAAAGGAATTCCCTCCACCCTAACGTCCAGCACAAATCCTAATACAAAATTTGACCTATAAAGGTTATCCACCGCTCAACCAGCCAGCTATACCCCACCCAAGATAGCCTGCTAAGCGGACGGTGCCGGGCCTGATAAGGCTACGGCCCCGGTGCCGGGCCTGATAAGGGTACGGCCCGGCAGGCAGCAGGCAGAGGTAGCTAAAGTTCAGCATCTGGTCAAACCGTATATCCCATCATCGATGGCCTATAGAGTAGGGCTCTAATCCTCATTGTAGAAATTAAACAGGGCTGGCCTAGTGCTCGTAAGTAGTTTTCCCTGTGGCCCTACTCCCCGGGGTAAAAATCAGCCTTTCCCTAACAATTCTGGCCCCCCTTTTTTTTGATTAGAATCCAGGGCTAACAAAACTTACCTTCTATACTACCTGTTCTTACGAGGTTACCCCCTCGTCGTCACTGTTGTTCTGCTGCTTCTTCCGGTAAGGGTGGTAACCCGGCTAAGACCACTACGAGCCGTCTTACTAAAAAACAGAAGGATGAGCTCTCTAAGAAACTCTCGGTTGACAAAGAGTTTCAATCCGTAGCAACGGGAATGCTCCTTAGTGATATCACATACAAAAGCCACGCGACTGTAAGGACGCTCGACTAAAAGTCCAGCAAAAGGATCAGGGTTTTGTTTACAATCTTTGGCAGCTCTTCCAAACTAGAGGAGTTGTAGGTGCGGAGCCCTACTTAATAACACAGTTTGATAAAACTACCGGGAAGACTTTCTGTTCTTATGCATTCTTTACCTACACTCTCCCCTACTTTACCGAGCTCAATAATCTATGGTATATACTGGTTGACGGAAAGTTCGTAAAAGTCCTGCCCCCCCATATAGGAGAGTCGCTAACTCCTTTAGCCCTTGCTTATTTGATCACTGGGGCCGGGTGGTATTGTAAAAGTACGGGCAGAATCTCTCTTTCAACTGATTCCTTTAGCCCAGCTGAAGTCAAGCAGTTACGCTCTATTCTCTTAGAGAAGTTTTCAATTGAATCTACCCGTATCTCTAATGGAAAGGGCAAAGAACAATACTTCATTTATATTCCCAAACGCGAACTACCAAAAGTTAAGTCTCTTGTCAAAGCTCACATTCCTTAATCGATGGCTTACCGTGTGGGGCTCTAAGGGTCTTGGTCGGATAATCCCTTATTTCCCTCTTGGTTTTTGTGTTCTTTCTTTTTATAGCACCTTAAAAATTGCCCCCTTCATTGTAATGAATCGGTATGTAATTAAACGGGTGGTGTACTAGTCATTTATACTGACTCCTTTACTGGTGCCGAGGTTGATCTTTTACGGGCAGTCCTTTTGGAAAGATTTGTCAATTTACTCTACACGGATCTCTAATGGTAAGGGGAAACCCAATACAAAATACGGATCCCAAAACGCGAACTTCCTAAACTTAAGGGGCTCTACGAGCTGGTGAACTTTAGGAACTGAACGTTTTGGTATCCGAATAACTACTGCTCTTGTGCTTTATTATGAGCAACCCTTTTGTTATTACTCTTAACTGTTTCGAAAGAGGGGGGAGTTTTTGGGGACAAGCAAAAGCTTTGTTATTAGTAATCGAGTAAGAAAGAGCTGAGGATAGCGAGGCAGTATGTACCTCGAGAACAGATAGATCAATATCCCTAGTATCAGGAAGGCAAAGGATAGCTGGTTAACGAAGTAAAAAGGAACAAGTTGAGGCATATTCAATAATAATTGAAGTATTAGCAGGGCTAACGAATCACTAGGTCGGATGTGAGGTCCGATGGACAACCCAAAGGCACCTATAGGTGGAAGCCAGGGTTAGAGGAGGGGGAATTTTGAAAGGGTAATTTCAAAAACAAAAAAAAGGATAATTAGAAGGGGGGGAAATTTGAAAGTGCCTACTAGGCAGACTAAGCTTAAGAAGAAGAAGGCAGCCCAACTCTATAGGCCATCATAGAAGGAATCAAAGGTTTCACAATATTTGGCAGTTTTGGAAGTTTTGGTATTCTGATATACTACTGATCTTTACCTTTCCCAGTTTTGACTCGGGTAGAATCTATACCGTAATTATTCAACAAAATAGAGCGAAGGCGGTCAACTTCAGCAGGGCTACAGCTGTCGGTACATTTAAAGAAAGGAGTAGCATTGGCTTTAAAGGCCCACTCGGTAACGCATTGAATGAGGAATATGATCAGACAAAGATCCTGGACTTTACGAACTTCGCGTTAAGGAATACGGATACGATATTGTTCCTTCCCTTTATTACCAGCAGATTTCCGAGAAGAATCAATACCATACTTTTCTAAGAGAATAGAACGCAGTAAGTCCACTTCTTTTTCTGTAAAGCTGTCAGTACAGATATCTATTCTACCTGTAGATTTATCGAAACAGCCCTCCCCTGCCGCCGGCGTACCTATGGCGGCGGCGTACCTATGCCCTGCCGGCTGCGGTCTGACCCAACGGGTTGGACGACCCTGCGGTCTGACCCAACCTCGTTGGGTTGGACGACCGCAGGGGCCGTAGCCGCAGGAGCCGTACCCTTATCAGGCCCGGCACCGTCCGCCCGCCGTTACCGGAGGGCTTAATAATTGATTCTTTTTTCAAGGGGGGTGCCCCTACAATTCCTATTTCGTTAAAGAGGCTCCATAGGTGAACTACGAAGGATTGGTCTTTCTGTTCAAAATAAATGTGAGCATCATTACCCATCATTCTTAGGCCGCAATCACCTAAAAGCATACCTGTGAATACCTCTATAATAAAAGGAGGGAACACTATTGCAGCCTTTT